GGACGGCCACGGTTCAGGTGCTTCCCAGGGGACCTCCGTGCCACAGCGGTCGTGACAAGCTCGGGGGTCTCGGGCCCTTCCTAGCTGTGCGTTTGGCCTCTGTGCCTCGGCTTCGCTGTCTGTGAAATGGGGACATAGCCGTCTCCTGTCAGAGGGCAGACGGGGGGAGCCACAGTGCCAGGCACGTGGCCAACGTCACTGCCGCTGGTGGCGCTGTCGTTCGGGGAGATGGGATGCGTGCACGACGCCAGGGACCGTGCTCAGGAGAGGGAGCGTGAGCCAGCACTGCCATTGCGGGGTGAGGCGGTGGGCCTGGGGGCGGGGGGCCACACATCCTCTCGGCACGTGGTCGAGTGTTGCAAGTGTCACTCGGAGGGCCTGCCGTTTAGGACCCAGGGTACCGTCTCTGGGGCCGAGCCAGCCGGCGATGCCACGGCTCGGGCACAAGGTCAAGCGGGAGGGGCTTGTGTCTGTAGCATAGGGACACGCTGCCCCCACCGGGCAGGCCTCCTGGGATGGCCAGGGACTCCAGGATCGGGGCCGTGTGAGACGTGAGCCCGAGGTGTGTGGCTGCTGGAACGTGTCCTGGGCTACGTGGTGCGTGGCTGAGGTGACAGGGGACATGGTGTGCGTCACGGGGGAGGAATGTGGGCCCGCAGCAATGGCAACGGACTGTCCATCATTTGCTGAGCACCTACTGTGCGCCAGGCACCACCGCAGGTGCTGGCGGCCAAAGGCGCGCAGAGCGGGTTACGCCCTCGCCCTTGGGCCGCTCGGCTCCGGGCTGTGGGCTCATGAGAGGTCGGAGGGTGGAAAACACTACGGAATAGGAAGGCGAGGGGGGGGTGCTGGAGAGGGCGCGGGGTGGCCGCTAGGTGACAGGAGGTGCTCAGGGCGGCCTCGCTGGCAAGGTCGCATCGAGCAAAGGCCCGAGAGGAGGCAGGGACGGCGGAGGCACGCGGTTCGGGCAGAGGGTCGCAGGCGCAGAGGCCCCGAGGCGGCCGAGTGGAGACGGGGGACGGGGGTCTCCCGACGCGGTGACGTTCCGCCCTGACCCCGAGGGTGACAGACAGACAGACGGGGCAAGAGAGGCTGCCGAGCAGGGGAGGGCAGCAGCCAGCTGGGACGTGGGCAGGCCCTGTGGCTGGCCTGGGGGCCGGCGGGGGAGGAGGCGAGGGCAGAAGCCACTGCGGAGGCGCTTCTGGCCACTGAGGGGACAGGTGGCCAGGCCCGGGGGCAGGACGGGAAGCGGGGTATCCGTCTGCCTTGTGAAGGGGGAGCCGTTCATGGAGCACTTAGCTAGTCGGTCCCCCGACGGCCCTGTACGACAGAGACTGTCATCATCCCTTTTCATGGCATTTTTCTGCAGCCTAGAAAAACGAAGGCCGTGGCCCGAGGCCGCACGGCGAGGCACCGCGGACCCAGGATTCAAACCTTGGTCCTGGCGCTGGACCCATGAGCTCTCCTGGCCCCGCTCCGTCTTTTGTGGGCGTCCTGGGTCTTGAGTGCGGGAGTGGCATGTGCGTCTGTCAACGCCTATACCAGTGTCTGCACATAGTAGGCACTCAGAAAGGATCCGTCGGCTGGACGGACGGACGGACGGACGGACGGACTGATGGATCAAAGGAACAAACGCAGCCTCGCTGCCCATTTTGCAGAAGTGTATCAGAGGGCCAAAGTCGGACCGGGCTGGGAGCAGGGAGAGAGCTGCGCGTGGGGGTGGGCTTGCGGGGCATGAATGAGCTGGCCCTCGGCCGGAGGACTGGGGTGTCGGTGGTGGTGGTGGTGGTGTGGGCCCAGACCGCTGGTCTCTCCGGGGCTGGGGGTGGAGTAAATGGCTCTGTGGGGTGCAGGGGGGCTGTGTGAAGGTGCAGGGAGGGAGGGCGCTCGGCCGTGGCCCTGCCCCGTTATGCAGCGAAGGCCGGGCTTGGCACGGCCCAGACCCCCCTCCTCGGGTGGCCCGGCCGCCCGCATCCTCCCCCGCTTCCCAGACCTTCCCGGCTGCCCAGAACCAATGGGTTAATTAGATAACGGAGCCTTTGATTAGCGGGGGAGGGGGAGCCCTGGGCGCAGGGGCGGGGAGCAGGGGGGAGGGAGGAGAGCGGCCCTCCCCGCCCCGCTCTCTCGCTCGCTCGCCGGGAAGGAGAGAAAGACGGAGGGAGGGAGAGAGGGAGAGGGAGGGAGGGAGAGAGAGAGAGGGAGGGAGCTGGACGAGACTCTGACTGATGACTAGAAATTGTAATCGCGGAGAGAGGGAGAGAGACACAGCCAGCCTGGCCAGGGAGAGCAAGACGGACGGACGGATGGACGGACGGACGAGACTCTGACTGAGACCCGCTCCCCACAACCGGAGGGCGATGGGGACCCAGCGAGAGTGAGGAGGAGACGGAGGAGGAGGAGGAGGAGGAGGGAGGGGGCCCGGTGGTCCCAAGGGGAGCCGGACAGTGAGGGGGGCCCCTGAAGAGGGCTCGAGGCCAGAGGAGGACCGGACCGGAGGCGGAGGGGCCGGGGAGTGGGGGAGAGTAGAGGCGTGATTCCTTGAGTCCAAATCCATCTGGCCTAGGTTGGACCCCCCTGAGACAATTTAAGGGCAAGAAGCTTATTTGAGAGGTGGTCTGAAGGCTGGTAGGGGAGCAGGAGACAGCTGCAGTGGCCCACGGACAGCTGCCCCCGGGGCGGGAAGGGCCGCAGGCAAGGGGGGGGCGCGGGGAGACCCAAGAAGCCCCTGCGCCCCCCCCCAGCACGACCTCGACGCGAAGTCCCCCAGAGCAGGGGAGGCGTAGCTGGCCGGCGGCGGTGGCATATGGAGAAGGGGGCCTGGGGCGCAGGGAGAGGCCCCACGGAAGCCGAGCCAAGGGGTGAGTGCCCCCTTCTGCGGGGAGGGGCCGAGGACAGAGATGGCGGAGGCAGAGGGCGCAGGAGGCCCAGCGCTGCGGAAGCTGTGGCTGGGGGGGGCAGTGGGCTGGAGAGGTGGGACCAGATGCAGAGGTAGACTCAGGGGCGCGCCTGGACCTGGGGTGGGCACTGCGGGCTCCCACCACCCGAGGGGCGCCCTGCTACACGTCCCCCCCCCACCGCCTCAGATCCTGGCCCCGTTGGGCTGCGCGGGTCCCGTGGTTTAGAGGGTGTGGGCTGGGTCATCGGCGGTCCTGCGCGTGGGACTGGAGCGGTGGGCTAAGGACAAGGACAGAGCGTTGGTCCCCGTCACACTCGGAGAAGCAAAGACCCCACCACCCTCACACCAGGGAGGGACTCCCACGGCCCCAGCCCCGCAGGCGGAAGGCCCAGCCCCGGACAGGGACACAGGGACACGGACAGAATCCAGCCTCTCTCTGTCCCTCTGTCTCTCGGTCTCTGTCTGTCTGTCTCGCTGTCTCTCTGTGTCTCTCTGTCTCTTTGTCCCTCCGTGTCTAGCTCTGTTTCTGTCTCTGTCTTTGTCATTGTGTGTCTCCCCGTCTCTCGGTCTCTGTCTGTCTCGCTGTCTCTCTCTGTCCCCGTCTGTGTCGCTCTGTCCCTCTGTCCCCCGGTCTCTGTCTGTCTTCCTCTTGCACACACGCACTCAGGCACACAGACATACGCACACGCATTTTGACTGAGTACAAATGCTCTGGGAAACCGCAGAACAGGAGAGTGAACGTGTGTGTGTGTGTGCGCGCGCGCGTGCACGCGCATGTGCTTCGGGGGGCTGTGTCCGTGGGTCTGAGTGCGCCGTGGGAGGGCGTGCCTCTCGCTGTCACCGCCGCCGGCTGCGTGTGCAGACGGCCCGGGGGCCCTCGGCTGTGCATGGCGGAGCGGAGCCTGCCGGTGTGGGTGCGTCTGCGGGTGCCCACACTGTCCCTCCCCCCCGACCCCGCCAGCCGACTCCGTGCCCCGGGGCAAGCTGCTTCCCCTCCTGGCCCCTCAGTGTCCTTGTCTGTAACTTGGGCCCACTCGCCACTTCCTCCGGGGGGTACCGTGAGGCCTCGGTGAGACAGGCGCGTGTGGGGTCTGGTGCACGGAACAGGCCTGCCCGGGGGCCCAGAGGGCTTATTACTGTTGTCGTTCTTGCCATGGTCACCATTGACTTGTCTTCCTCTCCCCCACCACCCCCATCGTCCTGTAGAAATAGGGGTGGGCAGACCGGACCCTGCACTATCCACCCCCTCCCGGAACTCAGACACGAGGTCCCCAGCACCCCCCCGGGGCCGCTCTGCGTTAGCTGCTGGCCTGGGCCTTCCAGACACCACCTGAGCTTGAGCTCCCGTCACCCCAAGGCGGCCTCGGCACCCCCTCGCCCAGCGGCCCCTCCAGCCGCCTCGTCCGGTGCCTCGCCTTCCCCTGTCCGTCTGCCGCGAGGCCCACAGGCCCGGACCGGCCCAGAGGACACTGGGGGCCTCATGTAGCCAAGGGTGATGGGCGCTGTGCGGGCGCTGGGAACGGCCTCCTCGCAAACAGCCCGGGAGGGAGAAGCGAGAGGAGGGGACCAGAGGCTGGACGCCCCTCCCGGAGGCTCGCGTGGGCGGCCAGGGGCCCGGGGTGGGTGCGGAGATGCGAACCAGACCCCCGCCCCGACTTCCCGCCCGGATCCTGCACCCCTCTCTGTCGCCTTCGTCTCGTCCGTCTCTCTCTCCATCTCTACCCGTCTATCGACCTTTTTGAACTCGTGCAAAGAGCTAAGCTATGAATCTGCTTGACTTCTCCCCTGACCCGCCGCGTGACCCTCGGCAAGCGCTTCCTCTCACCCCCGCCTGTTTTCAGTTCTGTGAAATGGGCATAAAGTCGCCCAGCAGCAGGAGGATGGGAGGGGCCGGTGGGGGGGCAGGGCCAGCCCCTCCCTCCGCCTTCCTCTCCTGGCGTACCTGGGACTGTCCCTCCCTCTGCGGCAAGGCGGGGAGGTGATGATGGTGACAGCTGGGTATTGGGGAGCAGCTGGGCCACACAGAGTCCGTGTCCCTCTCTGAGCCTGTCCTTCTCTGTCCCCGACAGCCCCCCGGCGCCCACACGGAGCATGAACGTTGAGGATGGCGCGTGCCCGCGGCTCCCCGTGCCCCCCGCTGCCGCCCGGTAGGATGTCCTGGCCCCACGGGGCCCTGCTCTTCCTCTGGCTGTTCTCCCCACCCCTGGGGGCCGGCGGGGGCGGCGTGGCCTTGACCTTGGCTGCCGGAGGGGGCTCCCCGCCAGCCACCTCATGCCCCGCAGCCTGCTCCTGCAGCAACCAGGCCAGCCGGGTGATCTGCACGCGGAGAGAGCTGGCCGAGGTCCCCGCCAGCATCCCTGTCAACACGCGGTACCTGAATCTGCAGGAGAACGGCATCCAGGTGAGTGCGCGGCGGCAGGTGTGGGCAGGGGGCGCAGGCGGTGGCCGGCCCCTCCTCCCTGAACTGGTGAGGGGCTTCTGGGTGTCCCGACCCGCTCTTCGCGCCATTCCCTGAGCATTTGGGAGATGCTGTCTGTATCCTAGCAACTGGAGCCGAGGCCATGCGAGTTCCTTGGGCACGAGGCTCCCCGCGTCTGCGCCTGCGCGTTGGGGGCGGGGCCACCTGCGGGGCCTCACGAGGGCACAGCCAGCCCTGGGCCTGGCCTGGGACCGCTGGTCGTGCAGAGAGCGACCCTCGCACAGGGCCTCTGTGGGGCGCCGTCCCCCCACTGCGTGTCCTCAGGCACCTGTCGGCATGACTGCGCCTCAGGGTCTTCACCTAGAAAACGGGACGCTAGGAGCCCCTTGGTGGCTTTCACATTTGTTGGGGGCTTGGAACCCGCCTGGCACCTGGCGCGCTCTCGCCCGTGCGCGCTCGCGCCTCGGCTTCTGGGGTGCGCGAGGCCTCCCAGGCCTGGCGCCGTGTGCACGTGGCTGCTGCTCCGACGGCCAGTTGCCACTCAGTTAATTGTGACTTGTGACTCAGGTGGGCCCTGAGCGAGGCTTCGGAGCAGAGTTGTGCCCGTTTACAGCCGCTCTCTCGTCCCGTGCCCCGTTGCCGTTTGGGGCTGTCGTGTGCGTTGTAGGGTGTCCAACAGCGTCCCTGGCCACCAGTTGCCACTAACACCTGACCCCAGTTCTAAAAATATCCCCAGAAGTTGCCAGGTACCCCCTGGCGACTCTGCCCCAGCTGAGATCCGCCGTGGATCAGTCCCCTGAACCCATCTGTGCAGGCCTCTCCTGGCCGGGCCCAGAAAGAAAGGAGGAAGAGGACTCCTGTGTGACTGTCCCAGGCCCCCCAGAGCGCACAGCCCCTCCTCCACCACAGCTCCTGGTCTGTCCCTCGGGCAGGGGAAGGGGTCAGTGGCCCCCACCTCGCCGTCCTGGAGAACCTACTCACCAGGGCCTCCCTCTGCCGGGGAGAGAGGGGACCTGTTGGGGTCAGTGCCAAGGGGGCCACCAAAGGCAAGAAGGCTGTCCTGTCCTGGGGGGTCGGGGGGCAGGGACCAGTGAAGCAGGAGCGGGGGTCCAGAAACGTAACTGGCCGGCCACCCCTCCAGCAAGACACCTGTCCTGCTAGTGCACCTGGTCCACCTTGAGCCCCTCCAGTGCAGTCCCAGCTGACACGCCCGTGTCTCCCTCCGGGGAGTGACGCTGCACCTCTCTGTCTCCACACACCTGCCTCTGCACCCCGTCACCCTTCCCTGACTCGTAGGGCAGTCAGCCGATGCTGCCAGCGCCAGCTCCGGGCCAGCCCCAGCTCTCGGGGATGACCACGCCCAGCAGAGCCCGCCCCGCCCCGCCCACCCCGGCCAGCACAGTCTAGGAGGGAAGGGGAGCTTACCACACAGAGGGGATGGCACACCAGGCTGGGACCGCTGTGGCAGGGGAGCCTGGGTGGGGGTCGGAGCACCCGGCGCACCTGTGAGGAAGGAGTGCTGAGCCTGCCCCGGCCGCAGCCCAAGGCCATGGCAGAGGCCCTTCCTCTCTTTGGGGAGCTCGATGACAGTTTGGTCCCATGACTGTTTGCTGAGCGCCCACCGAGGGAGGGGCATGCCACACACGCACAGGCACGCATGCACGCGCACACACACGTGCACAGGTGCACAGGCATGCATGCACACGTGCACACACGTGCACATGTGTGCATGGGTGCACCTGTGCACGCACATAAGCACACAGGCACACGCACGCATGCACAAGCGCACACAGGCACGCATGCACACGTGTGCACACACGTGCACATGAATGCACATGTGCACACACAAGCACACACAGGCAGGCACACACGCACTCGCAGGCACACATGCACACATGTACACACACACATGCACATGCCCGGTGCTGTCCTCAGCCTAACACCCTCTGAAGGCTCCTGGCCTGGAATAGTGACATCCGGGCTTTTCATCTGAGTCCCCACAGCTGGCGCTGGTCACTCCTCAGGCCAACCCTCTGCCTGGACACGCCCCCCACCCCACCCCCAGGCCAGCCTTCCCTCTCTGCCTTCCTCTCTGGGCCCACAGCCCACCCCAGACACCCCAGCCCTCACCCCAAACACTTCCGTTTGTCAAATGTCTCTGGTTTTCTTCTGTGTGGGAGGCAGTGGTCTGGGCACTCAAAACACACAATAGCCAAAACCAGTGAGTGACAGCCCGGCCCCACCGAGCCCCCCACTCTCTAGATGCTAGGCCTAGTTAAAGGGGGCGGGAAACGCATATAGACAGGGAGGGGTGCCGGGTGCAGGAGGGGGGTTCCCGGCTGCAGCTTTGAAGATACGGGGAGGTCAGGGTGTCCTCAAGGAGGTGGGTGACATTTGCACACACATTTGGAGAAGGTCGGGGGGAGGAGCCTGTGGACACCTGGGAAAGGGGACGGCTAGACGGGAGGAACAGCCAGGCCTCGGGCTGGAGCACGGTGAGCCAGGCGAGCAGGCAGGAGGGGAGGGCTGAGAGGCGACACTGGGGGCAGATCCTGCTGGGCCTCAGTGGTCACACTGAGGACTCGGGCTCCTCTCTGAGTGAGACAGGAACCAGGGCCCGCTCTGGGCAGAGGCCAGCGGCGCTCTGACTTAGGCCTCTGTCCGAGGTGCTGGGCGCGGAGTTCAGGAGAGAGATGCTGGCGACGTGGCTCGGACAGGCTGCTTTTGGTGGAGGTGGCGAGCAGTGCGCAGATTCCGGGTCTGTTCGGAAGGTGGATTTTCCCGAGTGGATGTGGGGAAGGGGAGGGGGGAGGAGGACTCCGAGGTCGGGACTGAGCCGGCCCCTGTGCTTGGACCCGTTCGCTCATGTGTCTGCCACCCCGTCTCTAGGCCACTCCCCTCCAAACCCACATCCTTGTCAGACTTTACACGTGAGCCTCATGGGCATACATAGAGCTCGCTGTAAGTCGTGCACACTCTGCTACATCCATGCACGTGTACGTTACAAAGCACACGCAAAAATCGACAGTCCAAGGGCAGAGAACAGGATGCCTTTCTCATCCTGGGGGTTCCGGCACCCCGCTCTGGAGACCGCTGACCCCCCACAGGCACATTCCCCAAGGGCAGAGCGGGTGCTTGTGAATGCCCAGTCAAATTGGCCCCCTTAGCGAACGGACGCCTTGCAGATGGGACCCCCTCAGGAGCAATCAGAAGTGCTTTAAAAATAATAACTTTTAATTATCTAAATAAAAAAAAAAATGAACAAAAAAATCACCCTTAGTCCCACCAGTAGATGTAAATAACTACCGCTTACATTTTGTTTTAAAGCGTTCCTGGCTCTTTTCTGTGCCTCTGTGAATGTGCTTTTAAATTATTGATTACAGAATGAATAGAAATTAATTTAGAAACACTAGAAAACATACCCAAGTAAAAACACAGGAACAAAAGCCAACTGTGATTTGACAGCCACAGGTGACGCCCGCGAACCCGGGCGTCTTCCAGTCAGATACTCTTCACAGGCATTCTCAGCGTGTGCCCAATAATAGGCTTGGGGGAGTAAAACGATTTCTTGCTTTTCTTTCTACTTTTTTTTTTTTTTTAATTTCAAAGAAACAAGAAGTCGCACCATTTCACGCCGTTCGAGGCTAGCTTTTGGCAGCTAGGAGCTTAACCGCGAAGGTCTTTGTCCCTGACACTAATCCTGGCCTTCGATGTCGGTTTTCACGACGGCACAGGACGCTGGTATTTAACCGGCCGCTTCCGCTTTCCGGCGTTTTCACCGATATAAACAACAGTGCGGTGAACATCCTCAGTGCTGGTTCCTCCTGACGCTCCGGATTCGGCCCTTGGCATAAATCCCTGCAGTAGGGTCGCGGGGTCAGAGGGAAGATCCGAGAAGCGCTGCCCCGTCAGTCTGTGTGTTGTGCTTGTTTGAGTGTTGTCCCCCCTCCCCTCCCATCCCCCCCACCCACGGAGACCGTGAGCTCCTCAAACACGCATGCACACGCACACGCATGCACACGCACTGAGGCCTGGCTCCCG